GGAATAAAATCCCACTGTACATTTTACATTTATATATTCAGTTTAATATGTAATATTCCATCCGTCACATACTTACTTATAATACCTTGCTAAAGCAATATATACATATCTTGTTATTGTTCATATGTAAATTCAACATGTATATTTTCTACTTTCTTGTTTATTTCTTGTCTTTAATTGTTATTGTACAATGCCATGTCTTTTTATGCTGCTGCAACACAAACATTTCCCAAATTGGGATCAATACAGTTCTATCTTATCTTATGATTCCATCCCTATTATTGCAGAACTGCTGTAAGCTAGCTAATGTAGCTAACCTAGTTATTTCAAATAAACTTACAAAATACAAAAATTATGAAACAGACCAACCCTGCGAGTTCATCTAATTTAATATAACTCATTCAGACATTTGGTGTTTCTGACTTGAGTTCAGGAGACTCCCTCAAAATAGTGCTAAAAGTAAGTTATATCACTTTGAAATTGGTTTACCCAAAGTTAAAGTTGGCCTCCAAGTGCAATGGAGTCCTGACAATCAACAACAATCAGCATAAGCAAGAAGTGTATCATGATGATGATCATCTGGCAACAATATCTGAACAGCAGTAGCAGAAAGAAAGCTGTTTTTTAAACCTGCCAATAATCTATTTTTACTGACAATAACGTTGAAACAATTTGTCCCCAACTCAATCCCACACTGAGACAAAGAGCCAACCATCTCCTAATGTTGGTGTGTTTGAGTGTGTGTGTGTTTGAGTGTGTGTGTGTGTGTGTGTGTGTGTGTGTGTGTGTGTGTGTGTGTGTGTGTGTGTGTGTGTGTGTGTGTGTGTGTGTTTGTGTGTTTGTTGTTGCTTATCACAAATAACTCATAAAGTGAAACCACATTTCAGCTCAAAGACAGAAAGCTCCGTCTCACTCCGTCTGAAGCTTTATAGACAGATCAGAAACTGAATTGTTTTCTTAACGAGGAAACATTGAGACTGGGACACTGCCGCCATAATCCCTCTGTTTCCAGTCCTCTGCTGTCTAATAATCCATGAGCAACCCAATTTCACAGGAAACCAGTCACAGAGCCTTCAGGGGGAGATTAGGAACATCCTCTTTTCTGAAAAGGCTTTTTGACACAAACGATTTGGTAGTACATATTACACAAAGTGCCTAAGATGGATAAATAAATGTAAGAACCAATTTACTGCAACGTTTGCTTTTATGTCAACTTTTCCTGAAAAAAACTGACGGTCTGACCTGTCGATGATGCCGCACATGTCGATCTGCAGGTGACTGTAGTTTCCCATCAGCCTTTGCTGCACCTTTTTTAGGTCCACAGGCTGGTTGTCGACAGTTAGGAGACGCATGCAGCCCTGGAAAGCCTTGAAGGGGTTCACACACTGATCACTGCTCCCCTCAGAAGGACAACCTGGCCCATAAGAGGGAACAACGTCAGAAAACTTACAATTCAATTCAATGCAGTTTAAAAATACAGGTAAGGTATGACAAAAAACGATGGACAATGGTATTGTAAAATCTAAAGATGCAATGAAATGTGCAATAAACCCAGTCAAGAAAAAATAAATATATATTAATTATTTAAAAAATGTAATTTATTAAGAGCTTGAGAATTGGAACCCAGATACTAAACTAAAATATATTTCACTCATACATCTGAATTGGACGGTAAGGTTTATGTATTATACACAGTAGCATTGACTTAAAAACACCTAAAACAATTCCCTTAAATCTAAACTAAGCTAATTATAACTTAATGGTTAATTGTATCACTCTAAAACAAAGGTTTAATGAAGAGAAAATATAATAAACATATCCACATTACAAGGGGAAATGATGCATTTCAGCGTAAACTTGTTCTCCACTCTTCTCTGAAGTTTAAAAGTCCTCTGCAATTATTTCCGATGATAAGAACCTCTGACTCTCTTACCACCAAAGAAGAGTTGACCGTCAGTGGAAACAGGAAACGGGGGGCTGGCGTTGGCCGTGTCTCCTTCCCCCCCGTCCACAGAGACGGAGAGATGTCCTCGTCTGGAGGTCAGCTCCACCGAGTGCCACTGACCGTCATCCAGAGCTGATCCTGAGTAGATATAAATACAGAATAGAAGATAATAGAATAGAAGCATTAATTGCCATTATACAAGTACAACGAGAAGAGTAAAGCTACGCCTTTTAAGGTGCCATCAAAACATTCAGAAAAGACAACATACAACAAACACTATAGGTTACTTACGTAACCCCAGTTCTCAGAGTTACATGAGATGTCTCACTATGGGATGCGCCTCAACGCGTATGCAAACAGAAGCATCAATCTCATTACGCCAATCCTGATTGGCTGGTGATCTTGACGTCTGCGTCAGGGAATCCACCCACCCTATAAGTAGCTTGGGCTACGACGCAGCGTCATTCAAAATAAGCACCTCTTCTCGCTTCGCTTTAGCAAGAAGGGCCGTCTGGTGAGACATCTCACTTCATGTTACTCTGAGAACTGGGGTTACGTAAGTAACCTATAGTTCTCATTCATAACACTCCGTTCGATGTTTCACTATGGGATATTGAAACTCCCGTATTGCTAGACATGCTTATCTCGAAAATCACCAAAACAACCAGAACTTAACAGGTAGAACCCTGTCTCAACACGGGGCCCAGCACTGCGTGGGCCACACTAGGAGCAGAGACGTCTAGCCTGTAAAAGCGGACAAAAGTGAGCGGTGAGGACCAGCTCGCTGCTGCACAGATGTCTCGGATGGGAACACCCTTGAACAAAGCCCAGGATGTAGACAGTCCACGAGTAGAATGAGCACGCAGGCCCGTTGGTGCCTGCAAACCCTGACTCGTATAAGCCAGAGCAATCGCTTCCACAATCCAGTGGGAGAGCCGTTGCCTGGTAACGGGCTTGCCCTTCTGAGGGTTAGCCCAGGATATAAAGAGTTGGTCATTGCATCGAAACTCTTTTGACCTGTCCATATAGGTGCGTAAAGCACGGACTGGGCACAGCAAATTCGGCCGCTGTTCCTCAGAGGAACACAGCGGCGGAGGAAATGCCTCAATGTCAATGGGGGTACATGAGCCAACCACCTTAGGTACAAAGGCAGGGTTGGGCTTCAGCAACACTCTCGTTTGCCCCGGGGCAAACTGAGTGCATGAAGGATGTACAGAGAGCGCATGAATGTCAATGACTCGCTTGGCAGATGCCAGAGCCAGTAACAACACTGTCTTCAGTGACAGGTGTTTCATGTCAGCTTCTTCCAGGGGTTCAAATGGAGGTCGAGTGAGCCCATCTAAAACCACTGCCAAGTCCCATAAGGGCACCAGTGACCTGGAAACAGGGAGGAGCCTGCGAGCCCCTTTCATAAAACGGCAGACCAAGGGATGTTGGCCAGCCGTCTTTCCCTCAAAGCCCAAATGGCATGCAGCAATAGCAGCCAGGTAGACTTTGATCGTGGAGAAAGCTCT